AAGTGTTTAAGTCTATGAAGTATCCTTGATGGCTGTTTGAAATAAATCCCCATAGATTCTGATATGCAGAGTTTTCATTGCAAATATATTTCAGAAATTCCATCATTCAGTTTCCATTTTCCCTTTTAACCAACATTTAATAGAAGAGTCTATAATTTCAAATAGAAGCCTTTTTCTAGTTTGATTTAGTTGTTGATTTCTAGTGTAGATGCACTGTGATCACAGAATGTTGTTTTAATATTTCTACTTCATGGACATTACTATTTTCTTTGGGGTTTTTTTGGAATTTTTAAAATTTTATTTTTTAATTGACAAATAATTGTACATATTCATGGAGTACATAGTGATGTTTTGATACATACAATGTATAGTGATCAGATTAGGATAATTACTATATCCATCATGTTTTCTTTGTTTTTATGAACATTCTATGTGCACTCGAGAAGGGGGTATAGTCTCTATTATCAGGATGTAATGTTCAGCATAAATCTTTAAGATCTGACTTATTAGTTGTGTTGCTTAGGTCTTTTAATATTGTTTTTGGTTTTTGGTTTTTTTAGTCACTTGACTTCTCTTGTACCAAGTGTGACATAAAATCTTCTATTATTTATATGTTTTTATTTCTTCTTGTACCCCCCCACAATTTCTGCCATATAAAAGTGGTGGCTATATTATTTGTTACAGAGACATTAATAAGAGGCATTAATAATGCTTTTTGAAGGGAATTCTACTTTATATGATGTCAAACTTTTCTGAATCACTTTGTTTTAGGTGTATCTTTTGCATATAGCATAAACTTGGGTCTTGCTTTTGCTTTGTGAGCCAATTTGAAAATCTTTTTTTTTTTTTTTTTTTTGAGACAGGGTCTCACTCTGTCACCCAGGCTGGAGTGAAGTGGTGAAATCTTGGCTTACTGCAGCCATGACCTCCTAGGCTCAAGCAATCCTCTCACCTCAGCCTCCTGAGTAGCTGGGACTACAGGCATGTGCCACCATGCCTGACTAATTTTCTGTAGAGACAAGGGCTCACTATGTTGCCCAGGCTTGATGAAATGTATCTCTTTTCTTTATAGTTAAGTTAAACAGCTCTATCATGTTGTTTTATTATAATTATCACGTTTTATTTTATATTTACCATCTTTCCCTAAGCAATGTGTCTTTTTTTCACTTTTTTTCTTTTTTCTTTCTTTTCTTTTCTTTTTTTAAAGAGACAGGGTCTCACTATGATGTCCAGGCTAGTCTTGAATGCCTGGGCTCACTCAATCCACCTGCTTTGGCCTCCCAAAGTACTGAGATTACAGGCATGAGATACTGTGCCCGGCCCTTTTTCACTCTTTAAGATAAATTCTTTTGATATTTAGGAAAGGGGTGTGATACAGTTTGCTCTGTCCCCACCCAAATCTCATCCTGAATTGTAACTCACACAATTCCCATGTATCATGGGAGGAACCCGGTGGGAGGTGATTGAATTATGGGGGTGAGTCTTTCCCATGCTGTTCTCATGATAGTGAATAAGTCTCACAAGAGCTGATGGTTTTAGAAAATGGGAGTTTCCCTGCACAAGCTCTCTCTTTACCTGCCACCATCCATGTAAGAAGTGACTTGCTCCACCTTGCTTTCTGCCCTGACTGTAAGGTCATGATTCCCCAGCCATGTGGAACTGTAAGTCCAGTAAACCTGTTTTTCTTCCTAGTCTTGGGTATGTCTTTATCAGCAGCATGGAAACAAACTAATACAGGATGTTTTGTTGTTGTTTTAGGAATTATTTTTGCATTAAGCCTTTTTCAGTATTCTTATGACTGGATGGACATTCTAGTACAATGTGGCTGGTAGAACTTTCTGCAATAATAAAGATGTTCTATATCTGCACTGCCCAATATAGTAGTCACAAGCCATATGTGGGTATTGAGCACTTGAAATGTGGCTAGAGTGACAAAGGAACTGAATTTTACATTTTATTTAACTGTAATTAATTTAAATTGCAACATGTGACTAGCAGCTACTAAACTGAACAGTGCAGTAACAGTGGATTCATCAGGAAGGAGTCATGTGTACAGTATTCATGAGTATTTGCAGGTTTAAAACTGTTTTTCTATAACTAGAGCACCTGGAGAACAACCTGGTTGGAATATAAAATCCTTGGCTTATACTTCCTCTTCACTTTTTAGAAAATGCTGCTCCACTGGTATTTTCTTTGTATATTACTGATAACGTCTGATGCCAGTTTAATTTTTGGTCCTTTGTAAGTAATCAAGGCTTATTTTCAAGAGTTTTGAGAATAAGTTCATTTTTACAATCCAATAGTTTTACTAGGCTCTATCTCAAAATTGATCATTCTAAGTCAGTTTACCAGGCAAAGTTGGACCTTTCAATATACATATTAAAGTCTTTTTTCATTTCCAGAAAGTTGTCTTGAATGATAATTTTAAACATAATTATGTTTCATTGGTTCCCCTCCATGTTACCTAGGGACTTCAATTATATGCACATTGGATCTTTTTTGCCTGTCTTCCATTTCAATCATTTTCTCTCTGACCTTTTTTATTTCTTTATCTCCTTTTGATTTTCTTGCTTATTTCTCTGACTTTCTACAACAGTCCTTATTAAATATTCAGTAGACTCTACTTTCCCTCAAGCACACTGTAATTTACTCTTAATTTCTTTATTAAGTTCAATGAATTCTAATTTTGTTTTGTCTTTTTTGAGGGGAGGAATGGAGTGATTTCTGTTATTAGTTTTTAAATTTTTGATTCATTTCGTTGTTTGAGGCTATTTAATTCAGTTAGGAGTATTGTATTACATCTTCCTTCTGTTTCATAGTTTGTTGTGGGGAAGAAATTCTATCAGCGAAATGGTTTTGATTCTCATTTTCTGTTTTCTTTTTACCCTAATTTTGTATGGAAATAGGCTGCATTTTGGGGGGTCTATTTTATAGAGAGAGTAAAGATTTTAAGTGGCTTACAAGATTCCTAACTCAAGACTGGCCACTTCGGTCAGAATAGTGAGGTTTCATATATATATATATACACAAAACATGTAATATTTGGGGGCGCAGTGAAGGGAGAAGAGGTTGATGTGTTTTGTAACTCTCTGTTTTCAGTAGGATCTTAATTCCCCCCAACTTTCTTCTTTCCTTTCACTAACACATCTCCAAAAGGCACTTCCCCCTTTCTACTCATCTCTTTCCCAGAAGTGATGCCTTTCCAAAACTGCCACCTTAGGTCTGACACACTTTCAAGTCTTTTACCTTTAGACAGTACTGTGACCTAACAGATCTTAGACTGCTTTCATGGATTCTGCCTTTATTGTGAAGTTTTATCTTTCTATTGCTAATTTTGTCAGAATTAGGCCCTTGAGTCCTCTCTTCTCTTTTCCATATAGTTTTTCAAACATCTCCAAGTCTGAAACACTGAAAACAGTTCTGTTGGAATTTGGTGTTTATTTCTTATCTTAAAATAAATTGAAGTTCATAATATTCTTTCTCCTAGTAAGGCTGAAAGTGTGGGCTGCATGTAGTTTCATTTGTTTTCCTTATTAATCTGTAGGTTTTTCTGGGAGAATAAGTGGACAAACTCTAACTTAGGAGGCTACCATTATCCTAGGGCAATTGGAAGTCCCTCAGGTCTTTTAATTCTTATTGTTGTTACAGAGTGTGATTTGTCCATGTTTTATGAACATTATGAAAACACCCCAGAAAAAAAGTAAAGGGATAAGTTTGTAGACAAGTCTTCCTTTTGAAGATAAATCAATTAACTTTCTTAAAATACATATGAGCAACAGATTCTGAAATTAAAGTCTCTCATATCTAATAAATAATCTAAGGTAGAATCTGACATGATTCACTATAGCTTACAGTTTTGGGATAATTAGAAGTCCTTTCTGTAATGTGGAAATACTCACCATGAGCTAAAAAAAAAAAAAAAAAAAAAAAGAGCCTTTAGAGAGTTGTAAGAAAGAAATAGGGCCAGGCACAGTAGCACACACACCTATAATCCCAGCACTCTGGGAGGCCAGGGCAGGAGGGTTGCTTGATCTCAGGAGTTTGAGATTAGCCTGGGCAACATGGCAAAATCCTATCTCTACAAAAAAATACAAAAATTAGCCAGGCATGGTGGCATATGCCTGTGGTCCCAGCTACTTGGGAGGCTGAGGTAGGAGGATCGCTTATACCTGGGAGGTTGAGGCTGCAGTGAGCCGAGATTGTACCACTGCACACACACACACAAAAAAAAAACAGAAAAGAAAATTAAAAAACGAAACTACTAGAAAGAATCCACTTTATTTGACATTTTTTATTTACTATGATGATGCAAGAACATGACAGAAGACAGAAGTGATTTCACTGTGTTACGCCCTGGTATAGGTGATTTACCCATCCACCCAGTACTTATTGAGGAACACTAAACTGCCAGACAATGGGGACACAGAGATGATTAAGACATAGTCCACCACCTCACAGACAAGTAGAATATACGTAAGTCACAAAAGGTTGGATGGTATCCTTTCCAAAAAGTTGAAAACTATGCAAAACCATACTATGTATACTTTTAAGGATATATACATACATAGCATAAACATGAAAACATGAGAAAATGATAAGCATCAAATTCAAGATTGAGGTTCGCTCTTAGGGGATGGGCTGGGAGGCTGAGGGGCATATAATCAGGGAGGAATACAAAGGAGTTTCAATTTTATCTGTAGTAATTTCCTTAAAAAAGAAAAAGGTCTGAAACAAATATTATAAATTGTTAGGACCTGACAAAACTGGGTAGTAAGAAATGTGGGTATATTTGTTATATTATCTCTACTCTTTTATATGCTTAAAATATTTTGTAATTTCTAAAACATTTTAATCAAAATGTAGTTCAATCACTGGCAAAGTTTCTGGAGTTTTAACTAAGAAGTTTCAGAATATATTCAAGTTATGTAACAACACAAAATTGAAAACTGCTTTTAGAAATGAATGAGAAAACTGGCCCATTTGAATAGTGTTATACTTACCTGTGAGTGCTAAATAAGAAGCAATGTACCGTTTTTCCAGACCGTCTCTAACACTCTGAATTGCACCGAACATTGGAGGTATAATCATGATCAGGTTACTCACTGTATTCCCTTTAAGAGAAAAACACAAGAAGACATTTAGGTTAATCAATAACACTTTAAATAAAGATACATTCATGTAGCCTTTAACAACAATTAAACAAGTAACTTCTCAGAAAGACATTGGGAAGATATTTTCAAGTTGCTGGAAAAAAAATTCTGTACTCACCAAAAATTTCTCACAATAATCCAAATAAAATAAAGACAAATGAAACTAAAAATTTTCCACCCGCAAACCCACTAAAGGAAATTCTAATTTCTAAAGGCAAGCAAGGAAAGGATCTCAGGAAGAACCTCAGAGATACAGCAAAAAATGAGTTGGGGAAGGCAGCCTATACCGATGCACTGAAATTGTGGTCCATGGATGCAGTATGACAAGATGAATACAGGATTGGCTTAATTTTGTTACTTGGAATAAAAAAGCAACAAATTGCAGTTTACATTTTGTATGTCTCTTTAACATTTCATTTTTCTAGTAATGTTTCAATTTCTAGTTTCTGTTTCTAGCAAAACATAGAAGGCTTAATTAATGGATCTTAATTTGATCTTTGCTCCTGTCTTCACAAAAACAAAGTGCAAACATGAATAGCAAAGGAATAGTAAAAACCCCAGTAGAAGATATAAGTAGATAAAATGGAGAAAGAAATGACTAAACAATATTTTATGAATTTGATTATGGGAAGAATAAAGTGGCACAATATTTTCCAAATTTCAAAAGAATGATTTTCAGCAGAGGTGCTAATGTCAAGACAAATAATCAATTAACTGACAGGGTATAAGAAAACATTTTCAGTCAAGGATTAAAAAAATACACTTACAACATATCTTTTCTCTGGAATCAACTGGAGAATGTAGTGAGTGCAAACAAGGAAACTGACCATGAGAAAGGATGACACTAGAGCTAAGAAACATGGGCTGCAACGCAAGAGAGAAGTAAAGAAAAGGCTCAAGACTGCAAAAGGACCAGAGACCACACAGTCCGTCCAAACTGTGGCAGGAGAACCAAGAACTGCAGGAAAGAAATTTCCAAGAACAAAAGGAAGAAAAGGATAGACAATTTGATAAGTTAAAAAATTTGGGGAAAAAATGCCAGTGGGCATTTGACAGAAGTGTTGGAAAAATTGTACTATAACTCATTCAACCAGTCCTCCATGACTGTAAAAATTCGGGTTATTTCCCATTCTTACTATTACATGCAATATTGCAAAGAATAACCGTATATATTTATAAGTGCAGGTAATATTGCAATGAATAACCATATATATTTACAAGTGCAGGTATATCTGTAAAACAGATACACAAAAATGAAACTGCCAAGTCAAGAAATAAACACATTTATTGGCCCAAAAAGTAGTAAAAGAAAACGTGGACCCATCGTTCTTTCTTTTACAATGAATAAGGATGGGTATAATTTTATGTTCTTTTGTATTTATTTTCCTGTGAAATGTATTTCATGCCCTTTGCCAGTTTTTCCATTGGTCTTTCCTTTTTCTATAAGAAGGGATAATTAATATTAACCCTATGTACTTGCTGCGGACAAATTTTTGGTGTTTTTTTTTTTTTTTTGACAGAGCCTTCCTCTGTTGCCCAGGCTGGAGTGCTGTGGTGTGATCTCAGCTCACTGCAACCTCCACCTCCTGGGTTCCAGAGATTCTCGTGTCTCAGCCTACTGAGTAGCTGGGAACACAGGTGCATGCCATCATGCCCAGCTAATTTTTGCATTTTTAGTAGTCTACACAGAAAGAAATGTTACCATAGAGTACACTATCTGGCTTAGCAGTGCACATTATTTACATAGCCATATTGATATTATTGACGTTACATCCTAACTACTTATTTAGTAAAAAATTATGCTCTGACTTTATTGAGAAAATATAGTGGGGAGAGCAGGGATGGTATAAAAAAGTGAAATCCCCAACCACCAAAACTAGAAGACAATAAATATCTTAAATTTACAGATCCAGAAAATAGGACTATAAGCAAGTTATTTAGAAATGTTGAGCCAAATTAATTAAAAAAAAAAAAATAGCTGGCCAGGGCAGTGGCTCACACTTGTAATCTTAGCACTTTGGGAGATCAAGGTGGGAGGATCGCTTGAGCCCAGGAGTTCTAGAGCAACCTGGGCAACACAGTGAGACCCATCTCTAAATAAATAAATTAAATAAATAAATAAATAAATAAATAAATAAATAAATAAAATGTTAACAAAGTTATTGTCAGACTTCTGTTTCCACACAAGATGAAGAAACAAGAACCAGATTTATCCTCTTACCTGAAATAAGCAGAAGACAGGGGAAGAGGGAAGGGGAGGGGAGATAAAATATATGAAACAACTTGGCAGGTTCCCTGATGAGGAAACAAAACAGGGAGTTCAGGAAGACCAAGGTGACTAGATTTCACAGGAGACAGTATATGAGAGACAACTTCAGAGACAAAGAACTCAGGAAATCTATAAAGGGCCCCCTAACCACTCAGCAGAAGACTGATTAGCAGATGTATATGAGCAAACCAGTCGAAGCCAGGAAAGAATCATGGTGAAAATATTAGAGGGAACAGTACCAGGTGTTCACACATAGCCAGTACACACATGGCCAGAAACAGTGCCTATTTCCACAAGCCGAAATAGTAAAATTTGCATCTCACTGGGCATTGGATAAAGAAATAAAGAAGGCCTGGCCTCAGTAATACGGAATAGCTAGTACTAGACTGAACCCTGTTCCAGACGCACCTAACAAATCACAAAAACAAAATCTAAAAGGATCAAACTGTTTCCAAGTAGCTTCACTGAAATCCAGAACAAAATTCAAGACTATAGTAATACAAAAATTATTCAGCACCTAACAAAGTTTAAAAAAGCATGCTGTCTGGTATTCAATCAAAGATTACCAGGCATACAAAAAAAGCAAGAAACACAATCCATGAGGAAAATAATCAATTGGAACCAACCCAGAACAGATGTTAGAATTAGCAGACAAGGACTAAAACAGATCATATGAAAGGCTAGAAAATGCAAACTAATCTATAGAGACAGAAAGCAGATCAGTGGTTGCTGGGGGAGAAATGGTAGAACAGTTCAATGCAGAAGGAGGGCTTAAATAAAACTTGAAGGTGAAGGATATGTTACTATGTTGTTTGTGATGGTTTCACAGGTATAAGCCAATGTCAAATTTTAATTTGTACACTTTAAATATGTGCAGTCTGTTTTGTATCTCAATTATATCTCAAGTATACCTCAATAAAGTTGGGGTTTTGCTTTTAATTTTGCTTCTAGGCAGTAGAACTGGACAGTGGGAAGCAAAGAAGGGTTGGGAAAGAGCACTGCCTTCTGCTTTTGCTAAAGTTATTTAGCATTATCTAGATTTTTAACCTATTTTTTAAATATATTGCTTTGATAAAATAAAAATTAATACAGAAACGATTTAGGAGAGGGAGTAAGATCGTTAGGAATAGTGTCATAGATGTAATAAGATTTGAGCTAGACCCTGAAAGGAGAGAGAGGAACAAAAATATGCTGAGTCTATTAAGTATCAGGCACTGAACTTTATATTTTACATGTGCTATCTTACTTGCTTCTCACAACCAATCTTGTGAAGTATTATTGTCCCTATTAAAAATAAACAGTAAAAGCAGGTTAAGAAATTATACAATTTACAGATATACAATTCCAAGTTCTCACAATAAGCAAATGGTGGCGGCAAGATTTTATTCCAGGTCTGTTTGTCCTTATAGCCAATGTTCCTCTCACTAGGTGTACTAGCGCAATGTTCCCACAGACAGTGCTTATTAATTACAAGGTTTTAAAAATTATATCAACGAGTATTTTATTCAGAATGTACTAAATGAATTCCAAACTGTACAAAGAATAAAGTAATTTGCCTAGGTGAAGTATGAAAATGTAAGGTGGGGAGCCAGACAGATCGAGAGTTATATATCCAAACAGCAGTTATCAATAGTTTTAAGTAAACCTGTAGGAGATGTTGAATATTTTACCATTCAGGAGTGCCCTGAGATTCAAACTAATGAAAATCTTTAATGATGACTAAGATAAAGCAATGGAAGCATATCCAAATGTACAGATAGTATTAAATTTAGCTGAAATGTCAATAGTATAGAAGTCAGTAATACATTTCAAATTACCTGGAGGCAGGGAGCGGAAGAGGGTCTTACAAACTATATGAAACTAATTTAAGGACAATGTACAAGTTTTACAAATTAGAATGAGGAATTTCAGACCACAAATATAGGCTTGTTACAGAGAGTAAGGACAAGCCTGACAGAAAGTTTCAAAGACAGAAAGATGACAGTAGGCTATTCTGGGAGGAAAATCTCAATATACTACACTTCAAAGTAGTATTCAGAGGTAAAAATGGAAACAGCTAGATAGTAGTCATCCTACTTTTCTTTGCTTTAATTCAGCTTCTCCTTGGGATGCTTATCTATTTGTGGCACCCTAAAAAAACAGAAATACTAAAGCATTCAGAGTAGGGACTCATAGAAAGGCATAATACACTAAATAAACAAAACACAACATATAAGGAATGGAATGACTGCTATCTTCAAATATCTGAAGGATTCCTGGGTCAGACTGACAATCTGAACATGTAACTGCAGTTTTGGTGTTACAGATACAATTTACAATAGCATCAAAATACATCACATATCTAGTAATAAATCTGACAAAGATGTATAAAACATAACACTAATAAAACTCCCAAATGGTTTGGGGTACAAATTGAAAAGCTGATTCTAAACTTTATATGAAATACAAAAGGCCAAGAAGAGCCAAGACAATCTTGAGTAACAACAAACCTGGAATATTTACATTACTAGATATCAAGGCCTACTAACAAGGTTAAATAGAACAGGTAAGATTATAAGAATATACTAACATTTACAGTCACCTGATTTATGACAAACATAACCCTGAAGTGTATTAGGGAAAGGACTGTCTTTTCAATACAGGATACTGGATCAACTGCATATTTATATAGGAAAAAAATTAATCTGGATCC